CAGGTTCACAAAGCCACGTGGGCACCCCGGGCAGGTTCGCAAAGCCACGTGGGTGCCCAGGGCAGGTTCGCAAAGCCACGTGGGTGCCCCGAGCGGGTGCGCGAAGTCACGCGGGCGCCCCTGGGCGGGTGCGTGAGGCCGCGTGGGCGCCCCGGGCAGGTTCACAAAGCCACGTGGGCACCCCACACCAGGTTACCCCGCAGCTTCCTGAGGGCTGGCTGCCCGGTCTGCACTCTCATCCCCTGGAGCGGGGGTCGGGGGGGATGGGAGGGGCTGACATGTGACCAGGAGTCGGGCAGGAGCAGGTTCAGTCCGCCGCCCGCTGGTTCCTGGCGCCCAGAGCTTTAAGGTTTCAACTCAGCGGGTCCTGGCGACCCCGAGCCACCTGGGCACCAGTGCCTTTGGGAGCTTATACCTCGAGTCGATGAGAACATAGAGAAAAACCATGTGCGTGAGGCTGTGACTCCCAAGCGGAATAGGAGCCCCAGTCCTTTCCTGGTGTGTGATGGTCGAGGTGGAATCAGAGGGTTGCTGTGTGTTCCGTGTGCAATTGTCTGCTCTTCCGCCTTCCACCGCCTGTAATTTAAGACCTTCCAGACTTCCCTCCTGCCAGTGGGTCTGTGGTGTGGTGTGTGTACGTGTGGTGTGTACGTGGTACGAGTGTGTGTATGTGTGTGTTGTGGGTGTGAATGGGGATGTGGCTGTGCATACGTGTGGTGTGTGTGTGGTATGTATACACGTGGTGAGTGTGTGTACATGTGGGTATGCATGTGTGTAGGTGGTACATAGTGTGTGTGAATGTGGCACATGTATGTGTGAGTGTGTGGTGGGTGTACATGTGTGTACGTGTGGTGAATGGCACCGGTGCTGGAATAGCAGGTGGAAGCTCTCTCTCCCTCGTTCTTCCTCTTTGAAATCAATAAAAATAATTTTTTAAATCAATTTTTAAAAACTCTGTGGAAGAGGCTTTTGCAGCTAAGGAAACAGCCCGGGTGGGGGTGGGGGCTGGCCGACCTCCTGGGGTCACCGGCTGGTCTGCGTCCTGAGCCCCGGGTGCCAGGTCCCTGAAGATTGGATGTTCGCTGTGGGTGCAGGAGCTATTGCCGCGCCCGCAGGGGGAGTGGGCGCGAGGGGAGAAGGTGGTTTGGACGGAAGTCTGTCACGTGTGTGAGAGGAGCCCGTGGGCAGCAGCCCTCCTGGCCAGTCAGTGCTGAGGCCCAAGGTGGCCTGGCGTCTCCTGTCCTGCCCTGCCCCAGAGGGAGTGTGTGTGTGTGGGGGGGCTCTGACATCCGCCCAGGCCATCGATGCGGGAGCTCGAGGCTGTCGGACGGTTGGTGCTGCACCTGCTCACCTGTGTCCGTACCTGGGCGGCGTGGTCCCTCCCCGGACACCTCTGAGCCCGGGCTGGGCAGGGAGACCCTCCTTCCCTGAGACGGACCAGCCCTGCTGCCTCCCC